GCAGCGAATCGAAACTTTCACACATTGTAGGCCCGACTTTTCTTCTTTTAACGCAACAAACCCGAAATTTCCAGCATTTCTGGTTGGGACGCAATTAAATTTTCAATGCTCCATCGCATCCACGCGTATTGGAAGTGAAAATGAGCAAACTTAAAAAATTCCTCAAAAAATCCCTGACGATGCGAGCGAATCGAAACTTTCACACATTGTAGGCCCGACTCTTCTGCTTTTAACGCAACAAACCCGAAATTTCCAGCATTTCTGGTTGGGGCGCAATTAATTTTTCAATGGTCCATCGCATCCAGGCGTATTGGACGCAAAAATGCGCAAACTTTAAAAATTCCTCAAAAAATCCCTGATGATGGCAGCGAATCGAAACTTTCCGACATTGTAGGCCCGACTCTTCTGCTTTTAACGCCACAAACCCGAATGTTCCAGCATTTCTGGTTGGGACGCAATTAATTTCTCAATGGTCCATCGCAGCCACGCGTATTGGAAGTGAAAAAATGAGCAAACTTTAAAAATTCCGCCAGAAATCCCTGATGATGGCAGCGAATCGAAACTTTCCAACATTGTAGGCCCGACTCTTCTGCTTTTAACGCAACAAAGCCGAAATGTCCAGCCTTTCTGGTTGGGACGCGCACTTTGAAACTTCCTAAAAATTGCGCTGTTGCCGGGCTGTGCAACTTGTCCAGACTGGCTGATGACTAATCCAGGGCTTTTCCAGGTTCCGGAGCGCATTCGCGCCATGAACGCCAGCATCAAGCTCCTGCTGATAGTGCGGGAGCCGGTGACGCGCGCCATCTCCGACTACACGCAGCTGCGCGCCAACGCGGCAACCATGGCGCCCACGGCGCCCACTCTCGGCCCAGTGCGCAGCTTCGAGCAGCTGGCGCTGCACCGCAACGGCACCGTCAACGAGTCGTACCGCCCGCTCGCCATCTCTGTCTATCACCGCTTCCTGCATCGCTGGCTCGAGGTAAGCGCAGCCGCCCACCCCGATCCAAACCAGCGTGATTGCGAGCGCCCTCTACCCGCAGGTGTTCCCACGCGAGCAACTGCTGGTGGTGAACGGCGACCAGCTGATCGACGATCCGCTGCCGCAGCTGCAGCGCATCGAGCGCTTCCTCGGGCTCGAGCCGCGCATCAGCGCCCACAACTTCTACTTCAACGAGACGAAGGGATTCTTCTGTCTGCGCAACGAGACGGCCGATCGGTGTCTGCGCGAGACCAAAGGGCGGCGCCACCCGCGCGTCAGCCCGCACGTCGTGGCGCAGCTGCGCGCCTACTTCGACGAGCACAATCAAAAGTTCTACGAGCTGATTGGCGAGGATCTGGCGTGGCCGAGCGACTAGCCCCGCCCACTCCATGGGCGTGCGCATCATGCTCAAGCGCGCGCCACGTGGACTTACCTGCGCGGCACCCAGCAGCTTCTTGATCACATTGATCAGTGCCTTAAGTAGGTGGAGTGGGGGGCGCGCGCGCCCATTCAAACCAAACCGGTAAGCAATAGCACGCAAGTGTCCGCTGTTTAATTACCTGCATATCAAATCTTAACCATACATATCAAAGGTGTGATGATTGTACATTGTAAGTAGGCTTAGGGAATTTTATATGTCTATGCATAGACCAGGCAGTGTTGCCAGTGCTTGGGGGTTTTTCGCATTTTTTAGGAAAATTATCGCCCCCCGGGGGGCGGAACCTTGTGATCGTTATCATTGACACTAGTTGATAAATCTATATTTATATAAATATTTATATGTATATTGTATAGTGGGGCTGCAATGCGAGCGAAAGTGGGCGTTATATTTAAATAAATTTATAAATGTATATATACAGAGTGCGCGGGTTGTTTGCGGGCGATTCGAAACATATCAAGCCTGCCTCGGGGATGCCGTCATAGGGCCCGCGAACGGCCCGCCCACTCTCTCCATCCTACTCTACTTCACTTTACTCTACGTGTCCGTGTCTCTTGTCCTTGTTCAACCAAACCCTGTCAACTGGTCACCTATACACAAACGCGCTGTTAGAAGTTAGGTTTTTGGGTTTGTACAAAGTTTTCAGTAGATCAGTAGAAAACATGGGCGCAGTCAATTTAATTTAATCGAATCAATCGATTATTTAATCGACCCTCACAGCTCGCGCCCTGTGCGTACGGCGCCCTCTCACGGGCCACGGTCTTGTCGACGTGGCACTGTCATCGGTGACATCGCTCGGGTGATTGACCCCATTGAGTGCCAAAAAACCGGTAAAATCCCCTGATGGGGCTCCGAATCCAGTGCGGAGTGCTCAAGGGGGCCCTCGGGACCCCCTTGAGCGTAAATTCCAGTGCGCACCCGGTGAAATTTCCGTTTTAAGCGCCTGGCGGCTGTTTGGGCCTACGTTGTTGCCATCCAGGCTGGAAGCGTTCCGTAGTGCGGGGCCCCCCACGGGGGCTGCCGGCGATCAGTAGGCTGGAAGCCCTGCGGCCTTGAAAGGGCCGGTTTTGCGGGCGCTAGCTGCGCAAGTGAGGTTAGGTGTCTGCTAGCTGCCAGCTGCAGAGGCCGACACAAGGGGGCCCCCGATACTTGAAGTTGCGCTGGTGAGTACCGATTGCTGTCAATCTCAAACTTAACCGTTCATTTCAAACTTGTGATGATTCTACATTGGGTTCAGGGAATTTTGTTTGTCTATGCATTGGTGGTTTTTTCGCATTTTTTAGGAAAAAAACCTTGTGATCGATGTTGATGAATCTATATTCATGTAGTGGGGCAAATATTGCGTACACACAGCGCGCGGGTTGTTTGGGGACGATTCGCAACATATCAAGCCTGCCTCGTGCATGGCGTCATAAGGCCCGCCCTCTATCTCCATCCCACTCTACGTGTCTTGTATCCTTGTTCAACCGAATCCTGTCAACTGGTCACTCCACCCAAACCCGCTAGTTAGAGGTTAGGTTTTGGGTTTGTACAAACTTTTTAGCGGATTTATACACTGTTGAAGCCCCCACTTTGAGCCCGAGGGCCAGTGGGGCAACACCGCAATAATTTTGTTAAATTTACCAAAAAATGTGTAATTTGCCGAGGCCGAATAAAGATGAAAGTCAAACTGGGAGGTTATGAATCGTTGCCCTACAACTTTATGGTTTACTAGGTTTATTCAAATTTTATTGGTTGTTACAGGTGGTAGTAGTAGTGGGGGAGGGGGGGAGATTCAGCATACAAAAGTGCAAAATTTAACACGAATAAATTAACACTGGGGGGTGGGGGCGCTGTTGCCATTGTTCAATCTAACCTAACCTAACCTATTTATTTATACAAACAGACAAACAAACAATCAAGTACATGGAATAGGAACTAAGTAACGTAACTAGGGAACGTTTCGGCCGCTAGGCCAGCGTCCATCATACTAAAACGTATATACAGAAATGAATTGTTGCAAACCGCCAATCGATCAAATTCTCAGCAAATCAAAGCAAATTCTCTTTGGTAGTGGGCGTGGCCGTTGGCTGATCGATTGACTGTCGAAGAGGGGGCGGAGCCAGGGTGCCTTGGAATGGTAATACTGGGGCTGCGCCCCCTGCGGGAGAATACTGAAGTTGACTAGCACTATGGGCGGGGGGGCGTGGCCCTACTGGATGGGGATGGGCTGGCGCGCATGCCCCGCCCCCGGCTGCTGCCCCCTGGCGGCCTGGTGCAGAAGCTTCGACAGGCGTTCCTTGGTGGTGGAGGTGGACGGCCGCGAGGTGGCGCGTGCGTGCGATTGGCGCAAACTGCGCGCGTCACAGCGACTGTTCCTGAAACAGTGGCTTGGTTAACCAAACGTCGCCGTGGGCGCTCCTTGTCGCACTTACTTGAGCCAATTGGGCGGCAGCTGGACGCCCAATCGTTCGCACTCTCTCGAGTAGGCGGTCAGGCTCTCGCAGTAGCACTTGCCATGCGCACAATTGAACATGTCCATCTTGCAGGCCTTGTAGTATTTGGTGTTGCTCAGCTGCGACTCGCAGGCGCCAAAGTCGCGCCCGTTCAAGTGCTTGCAGGCGCCCACGTCGCCGTGCGTGCGCCGCGTTGTCTTCGGTTTCTGGGCGCACTCCGCCCTTTTGCCCACGCACCAGGAGGCGCCGAACGCGCCCACGTCCTTGTCGCCCACCGTCTTGCCGGAGCGCAGCCGCAGCTCGTCCTGCAGGTCGCCGTTGAAGTTGCCGCACAGGCCGCACAGGCGCCCCTTGAAGGCGGCGGGCGCCGTCACCTCGAGGAAGCTGCGCCCGTTCCACACGACCACGACGCCATTGTGCAGGCGCACCTCCACGCCCTCGGGCAGCTTGCGCAGCGCAAACTGCCCCGCCCTCTCGAAGTTCAGGCCCACTCTGCGCCCGTTGTACTTGACGCGCAGGCGCTGCTGCAGATTCAGGCGCGCCCCCCCGTAGCTGATGGCCACGCGCTTCGTGATTGGCGAGTCCATGTAGTGGGGCGTGGCGTAGTTGGCCACCTTGATCGAGAAGGCGCTGGCGTTGTTGCCGGCGCCGCACTGCTCGACCAGCTGGTACCGCCCCATGGCCTTGAACGTGTAGATCTTGCCGTCGAACGTTTTGTAGTGCGGGTCGCCGAACGCCATACACGCCCCTTCCACTGATCGGAAAAATTGCAACCAGGGCAAAAACGTCAAATTAGTTTGTCAATTGGGTGAAATTCTGCGCAGCAATTTTTTCAAATTTTTAAAAATAAAAAAACGCTCACATTCAACGCACTGCGGACAGCATTCGCCCTCCACGTTGATCTGCTTCATGCCGGCGGCGCAGGTGGTGTTGCAGCGGATGCGCGCGCAGCTGACCTTCCCGTCGTGGCACTCGCACGAACTGCACGCGTCCAGCTTCCACACGTTGCCATCCTGCCTAACAAAGCGCGCGTTAAACCTAGAAGGGGGCGTGGCCCGGCTAGTACCTGCCTCGTAGGCGTGGCCCGCGTAGTGGCACTGGCTGATCAGCTCGTCGGTCGGCTGCTGGATGCAGGTGGGGCAGCAGTGGGCGGGGAAGGTGCGCTGCAGCTCGGGCGCACACTCCAAGATCGGGCAGGCGCTGCGCGTGCACACTGACGTGCTGTTGACGCACGCGCACTCGATGCACTTGTCCAACTTCAGCGCCTGCCCCTCGCGGAAAAAGGACCGCTGTATGGGACAGGTGTTCGGCACCAGCAGGATGGCGCGCGTGCCGTTGCAGCGCGGACAGCACTCACCTGTCAAACGTCAACAATGTCAACTACCTACTCACCACTGGTCAACATAGTCGCATACCTGGCGCCCTCTCCTGCATGGCCCGCGAACACTGCAGCACCGGACAGGACCTTTTGGCGCAGGTCAGGCGGCCGCGACTGCAGCGACACTTCAAGCAGGGATCGTCCTCGGACACGACGTCCCGGTCCTCAGCCACCACTTGCCCATTGAATTTGCACACTGCGGGGGGAAATTGCGCGTGAGCCGGCAACAGCGCCTGCAGGGGCCACGTACCTGAACAGGTGGGGCAGCATTTTCCCGGCTCGGGCGGCAGCGGGTTGGGGCAGGGCGTGTAGCAGTGCATGTCCGAGATGGTGACCACGCCCGCCTCGCATCGCATCACTTTGCACGGATTGGCCGGCTCCGACCAATCGGTGTGGCTGGCGTAGGCCACGCCCTTGTAGTTGCAGCCCTTGCACACTTTACAGCAGCCGTCCGTCACCACCAGATGGCAGCCGTCCGTTTTGGGGCAGGTGTTCTTGCACTCGACCAGCCCGTTCTGAAACGCGCGCATGACAGGTGACAGTGCCAATCAAGTTCCAAATGGTTTTGGAAAAATTGCGAAAATTTTTCCGGAAATCCCCCAACTGCATGCGTTGCTGCATTGAGCCAGGGAACGACGGAATATTTTTTTTCACCGGGAAAAATTGTCGARYGAGCGTTGTGAACGAGCTGGCAACGTTTTGCCAGCTGCGCACCAGTTAAAACTGCGCGTGATTGCCAACTGGACAAACTTCTGGTTAAAATGATGRGAAAAAACACCGAGACTCACATACGCACCAAAGCAAAACCGCATTTTTCCGCTTGTCGGCCGATCGGAAACCGGGCGCGATAAGCGGCAAAACCGCGCAGTCTGAAAAAGTGGTGGCATGGCGCGATATCGCGCGTGCTAATTATCCGAATCACCACATTACAATAATGCTGCTTATTATT